AAAGCGCTAGCGTGTCATTTTTACTAAACCCCTAAAAAAGAGGTTTAGTAGCCTACTATTTACTTATGTTTTTCGCAATGTAAATAAGATATGGAAAGAGGCAACCGATAAAAATATCTCAACAAATTGGGTACATCTACAAAGGACTTCGCACCCCTTTTTCGTTTACAGAAAACGTGGAGAAAAATCGCTAGCCTAGTATTGTTGCTGTTCTTAGCTGTTTTTGATAGCAGACTGCAGTCAGAATAAGACTTTCAGGATCTCAAACTTATTTTCCTTTGTTATCGCTCGAAAAACAAATTCAAAGTATACCTGACATGATGACGATTAAAATAAACTTGTTAAATTTTCATATAAAACCGCCAAAATCGTATCACAATTATAGACAAAAAATGGAACTTTTGAATAGTAAAAGTTCAGCATTATTCTGTTGAAAACCGAGGAACATATTGTATTTCTAAATCTGAAATTCTTGTAGCATTTTATTTCGTTCATGCAAAAATATTTCGTTACACACAACGTTATATTAAACAGCAAAAGAGAGAAGAATAAAAGAAGCATAACGCCTGTAGTATGGAAGCTTGGATTAGACAAAGGAGACAATGTATTAACAAAAGTTAAAACAACGGTCTACAAAATACAAAGAATGCTAAAAATAAGTGTCATTAGGACAAAAAAATGTTCTAGAAACGAAATCACCTAGTCTTGTCTTTCAAAGATCTGCAGATATTCAAAAGTTATTATAAAGACAACAACAGCAAAAACAACACGAAGAAATAGAAAGATTTCTTACAAAAATAAGCATAAGGACAAAACAAAACAGAAACAACTGCTCACGTGTTTCTTCATGAACAGAAATATCAACTCCAATCACCGGTTTCGTCTGTACAAAAAAAAGGTCATCGTATCATGTAACAAACAAATCTTCCACAACGATTATCTGAAAAACACCTCTGTCTGGCGAGGGAAGGTCCCCGACTGATTCACGCCGTTTTGGTTGATATTTTGCCCACATATAGGGGATATCATTCTAAGAAAAAGCCTAAGAGGATTTATGCTGATGCGGCTTCTTTCAATAGTTATGATTTTTTAAGATTGGCCACTGGAGATCCTAATTCATCATTGTTTACTTTCTAAAACTCGTCCACATGTATGTTGACAAGCCAAAATCTTTTTAAACACTTATTCGTGTAGAGAAAAGGATTCTCTTCAAAATGAGACGTTGCGGAGCTCTGTGCGATATCCTTATCAAAAGTCATAACCATTTTTCTAAGAGCACCTAAAACACTGCTTTTTTCCATTTCTTTCATTCCTCTACATCGATTCTTGCCTTGTAGTATTGCGTAATTCCAAGATTTCTCTGCTATTTTAAGTGCTAAAAATCTCAGGTTAGTCTTGAGATGTACCCAACACTTTTTTCTAGGGCATAACAGAACCCGATTTTCGATCCCGAAAAGTTAGAGAAATTTTTCTTCATTTCTCCGAAACTTTTTATTTTCCTCAGAGATAAAAACGAGATCAATCAAAACGGCGTGAATCAGTCGGGGACCTTTCCTCGTGAGAAAAAAAATAGCACCTATAACACGCATATTGACAAGAACGTGTTCGTTGAAAAGAGCTATGTTCAAAAAACAAGTGAACAGCTTCATGAAACAAATAAAATATCGCGTCTGATCATCTTCTTTCTGTCCTTCCGTCTATTTTCTTCCATCTCCACGCACACGACCCTCCTCGATTTGTTTCTTTTGTATTTGTTCGTTGAGCTAAACTTGCTGTCGTTGTTTGTTGCTCAATATTATTCTCATTTAATCCATCATCAGACTCATCAGTTGACAACGCTTGCTTGTACCGTCCTTTTTTTGCTTGTTGAGGTTCTTTAGATAACAATGTGCTTGCTCGTTTACTTCATGTTTGCGTCCGTGAAAAATTGAATAACGTATCACTACTATCTTCGGGTTCAACGGACATTTTAGAGTGACGTCGTTTCAAATGCGAACGTAATTGAGACGGTGGTGTTTTTGAACTGATTCGATTGTTGTTGTTTCTCTTTGTTTTGGACTAACAACTTCATCTGATTTTTGGTTATCATCGTACAAAATGTCATCGTTGTCATTGTCAATGAAGGCGGTGAAAACGGCCGATGCTGTTGATGGCTGATTTTGTGATGTATCGTCATTATCATCATTGTTGTTATTTTGAAAATGGAAAATTTCATCGTCAAGTTGATCTAAGTTTTGTTCTAATAAATGTTTATGGTGACGCTGAATGTGGGCTCTGTATGCTGAAAATGTTTTGTATAAAACACCCAAGGGGGAAAAAGCATACTTCTGTACTTCTCGGTACTTCTCCGTACTTCTTGATACTTCTTGATACTTCTTCGTACTTCAGAAGTACGGAGAAGTACAAAAAAGTACGAAGAAGTATCAAGAAGTATCAAGAAGTACGGAGAAGTACCAGAAGTACAGAAGTATGCTTTTTCCCCCTTGAAAACACCACACGTATTTGATAAATTACATGTTAATCGAAATTGTGGTTCGGATAAATGATAGCGAGTAATGTGACGAAGGAAAATGTTGAAGTTATGAAAAGTTCTGTTATTACAAAAAGAGCAGTCGAGCGTACTGGTTGTCATCAAGAATACTATTTGGAGAATATTAACTCTAATCAGAAGCACACAAAAAAAAAATAAACTTTCTGTAGTTAAACATACCTTGGAAACTTTCAATAACTGTTTCATTTTTAATAAATGACTTTAGCCATTTGAGTACATCAAAATGTGACCAAAGATACGAATCACTCATTTTATTATGTGGACGCAAAACCTGTAATAAAACTTAATATTCCTACGCCTGCAGCAATTTGCTTTCAGGTAAAGGTAAAAGTAGAGAGCTCTGTGATCACGACAGCAGATGCACTTTGTTTCTTTCTGTTTTGTGGGTTGTATACGAGCGGAGTACTCTTACGGGAGTTCCCTTAGAAAAGGGGTGAATCAAAACTAGTCATCTTTTTTTGACAAACGTCGTTCTCGAACACTTTCAGCAGAGAAGGTACCACGCTACTCAGTCAGTCATAAGTACAGTGAGAAAGCAGCACATGAAAAGCTGCTTGCGCAGAAAGCGATTGATCAAGTTTTCTTGCTCTCCCTTTCTGCTTGTTTACTTCTTTTTTTTGTAATTATGGAAGCTTTACCGCTTTTTAAAAAACTGATTTCATTCCCATTTTTCGAGGCACCTCTGAACAGTGCCTTCGTTAGACATACTACTTAATTTGAGTTTAAAACGCACTCTGCAGTCTTCCACATGGATGTGCGATTCAACATTCATTGCGCACAACGGGAAAAATGTAGAACATTTGACTGCAACAAAACTCTAAAGGTTATTTCCTAAACCCTTAAGAGCGTTCTACTAAACCTTATAGGTTTTAATGATTATAAATCCTTAGAGTTTATAACGATTTTTCCAGCAAGTTGTGTTAATACGTATTTTCCGTATTAACATCTCTACATTTCTGCTTTTTTTTAACCGAAGAATTATTATGATATCTGTCCAACTGCTTTTTAATAACACTGGCTCGATATCTAGAAACACTATGATATAAACCCTTTTTACCAGCTGTAGTTGCTGTTCTTGTTTTCATACGTACCTGTGAATTCGGATGATACTCATCCAAAGGAAGCGTTTATGCATGCTTTACGAAAAGTTGGATTTTGCAAATACCTTGTTTTCTTCCGTCTTTTGTTACCACTCTAAGTTTTTTCCCGATAACATCATCAACTTGGTATCTACGTTTACGCTTTTTCTTTCGAGATACACTGTCATTTGAAATTATTTTCTACTTTATAGAAAATCCGCTCGATGTTCTATAAATTGACTTTTTACATTTACCAGAAAATCGATAAGGATATAACGTTTTTTCACTAACATCTCAGTTACTTTACGTTGCTTTATTCCAGTTGTTTCTTCTAATCTTCGGTTCTCAGCTCGCTCTTTATATTTATGCACAATGTCCTTCAACTTCGTTTGTGGTGGAATTGTCTTTACTTGAATATTGATAATTTCCCGCCATTTATCTTTCTCACGTAAACAGCCAAGGTACGTAAACGATTCAGTTGACTCTATACGCTGATTCCTGATAACAATATCAAGATTGTCAGCAGTCACGTACTTATTTCTCAAAATTTTACCATTATTATCTTCTTTTAACTGCAACAGGGACATGACGCAGGTTTTTTTGACACTCATTGTC